CGGCCCTTCGCCCCGCCCTCCGGTTGCCCCGCCCCCTCGCCCGCCTGTCTGGGGCTCAGCTCTCATTTGGCTCAACCCCCTTATTCCGTAGCAGACCTTCCGCCTTCCCGTTGCCCAGAAGGAGAAGCACGCGGGGCCTCCAATCTGTAGAGAGTGAATCTAAACCCACCTACAATAAAAGTCTGGAGTCTACGGGTTCTACTCCAGAGCATCTGAAAACTAGAGCATCTCCTGCTTAATCTTTCTTTCCTTTGCTAGGGCCGTTTGTTTACTCTATGTAGATTAAACAAAATCCTTGGTCCTGATACGCTGTCATCATTGGTCCATAAATGATCTCTCACTCTCTCTCTCTCTCTCTCTCTCTCCTCTTTACCCAACCCTCTCCCTCTTTCCTTTCCTCTCTGTCAAATATGTGTATGTAACCATGTATGTACATAAACACATGTAAATCTCACCATCTTATTCCCCAACTCCCAAAGAAATCACTATCCTGTTTGTAGTCATCATTTCCTTATATATATATATGTTTATCACAAATACATGTAGCTTTAAAAAGTTTAGATTATTTTTGAATTTCATAAGATTTATGTCTTTCCCTATGCAGTTCTGGGACTTGTTTCACTCAACATGTTGAGGTTCGTCAAGCTGTAGTATATGTGTCATTTATTTGTTTCATTGCTGTACACTATTCTACCCATTTTAAAAAAAATATATTTTATTGATTTTTTACAGAGAGGAAGGGAGAGGGATAGAGAGTTAGAAACATCGATGAGAGAGAAACATCGATCAGCTGCCTCCTGCACACCCCCTACTGGGGATGTGCCGAAACCAAGGTACATGCCCTTGACCAGAATGGAACCCGGGACCCTTCAGTCCGCAGGCGGATGCTCTATCCACTGAGCCAAACCGGTTAAGGCTATTCTACCCATTTCTTGATGGGCATGTCTCCTGGTGCACGGTGCAGGTTACTCTTGGGTATCCTTTCCTGTCACACAGCCACTAATTTCAGCTTCTCATCATCTTGTGTTAGAACCAGGGCAGTAGCTCCTAACAGACACCCCTCCTCTGACTTCACCAACTCCAATCCACTGCCCATATTGCTGCCAAAGGGTTCTTTCTAGAAGCCATTACTGGCTCCCATTGTCTGTTGGGGAAGTCAAAAGTGAGTCCTACCAGGCTGCTGTGCACTTCCCTGGTCTCATTTTCTTCCTGCTGCCTCCACTTCCCCACCCTGCTTTCACTTTATGATCCAGCAACCTTTACTGATTCCCTTAAATATCAAGCTATTGTACAAACTCAACTCATTGTATATGCTGCTCTCTCTTCCTGGAATGCTCTCTCCCTACTTTCTAATGAACGTCTCCTTCCCTCAGAAGTAAATACTATCCCGAATGAAGCATTTCTCATTCCCATGCATTTCTTTAAACTTCTACTACATATACACAAGCACTTTTTCCTTGATCTTGTTGTTCACAGTGATTTTGAAATGGAGTGGAGGGAGAACTAGGGCAGATGAGGAAAAAAACCTTATAGGATTTGTGTTGATATGCAACGTAGCAGGGCCCTGTGTCCCCTTCCCTATTACCAGCCAAAAGACTGATAACAGTGCCAATACCCCTTGCCTCATTGACCTTGGACAAAGATGCTAGATGTCTTGGGAAGCAAGGGACACCCTGATACAGTGAAGAATCTTTGCCCATCCTGCACAACCTCAAAGATCCAGGTGCTCATTTCAGGATTCTGTTTTATATTCAATCATAGAGTAGCTTTTGTAAAATTTTAAAATTCACAACATTTCCCAGGAATGCAACTTCTTGTTAACTGAAGGAAGATTATACTTTTATTCATTCAGACCTTGACTAAACGCCATTCACCATTTCAGGAAACCATGTCACATACAACAGTGTGTGGAATTTGTGTCTCCAGATTCAACCAGCTCTCAACTATCACAGTGATTCTACTTAGGAGCAAACATCTGACTTTATCGTATTTCCTAGTGTAGTTGTACCCAAGCATATGCATAATGAGCACACTAACATATTTAATTTACAATGAATATATATTTTATTATAGGATAACTTTCATTTTATTTCTCCCTTATTAGGTTAGGTTCGTGTCTTAGTTCATTTGGGTGGCAATAACAAAATACCACAGACTGTGTAACTTATAAACAACAGAAATTTATTTCTCACAGTTCTGGAAGCTGGCTGTCCTAGATCAGGGTGCCAGCATAGTCTGGTGAAGGCCCTTTTCTGGGGTGCAGAGGAGAGGCAGAAATTATCATCCTTATTTTACAGCTTCTATCTCAAAGTCCTAGTGGTAGACTCAGCATTCAAATGCAGATCTGACTCAGAAGCTGGTGCTTGAGAAGGACCGCATGCACAGAGATCCAGAGGAGGCCTCCCAGAAATAGATGCATCCCAGAAACCAAAAACACTACGTGGAAGATAAGCAATAGCCCTAGATCTGCAAGGATCTTCCTTTTCAACCTGAGCGAGAGTTGGTACTTACTTCATTGGAGATTTTAGAATCATCTCTCCAGTGTCATCACTCCTGGGTAAGAAGCACAGGGCACGTTGATATTTTCCTGGCAGAAACACATGTTAAGGGAGATTTGATAGAAAGATAGAAATTGGGTTTTTATTGTCAAGGCTTGCCTCCTTTCATATAGCCTGCACCCAGCATCCAGCACACCTGCATGATCAGGTAATTTCCAGACCTCTATGCCCTGGTGGGGGTGCTGTGGGAACCCCAAGTAATGGGGAAGAGAGATGCCCCTGGGGTCTAGCTAGTACTGTTAGTGTGTCTGCCAAAGGGGTGGCTCAGTGTCTGCCGCCCACCTTTAGCTTTCCTTAAGGCAGGGGGACAGGGGGCCACCTCCCTTGAGAAAGTGGAAGCCTGACTGATGCAGGGTCCCAGGGCAGCAGGCATCGCCTCTTCCCCTGGACCCTTTCAGCTGTCTGCTTCGGATTGACAGAGGCATCTGGATGCTAAAAATACCTCAGTGAACAAGTACTCCCTATTCCAACTAAAGCTCAACACCACAGCCATCAGAACTGAGCTTCCTCTTGCAAAAGAGCTTTTCAAGTTTTCCTACCCAATCCCCGAGCTGCAGGAGCCCATGGTCATCTTCCGCTCTGTCAGCTTTGCTGGGTGATGAGTGAGACCCTTCCCACATCACTGTCCTCTTGTCCGTCCCCTCCCTGCCTCCAGGAAAAGGGGCAGAGGGGGAGGTGAGGGCCCAGTGGCCAGGGGGGTGGGGAAGGGGAGGTGGCCTGCCCATTTATAGGCTTGCTCTTTGGGATGCTGAAGGTGCTAAAATAGCAGCGAGGACAAGGGGCTTGGCTCAGTGTTAGGGATCTGCCCCGCTGCCTGAAAGCCTGTGAGATGACAATAGGGAAAATGGAGAACGTGGAGGTCTTCACTTCTGAAGGCAAAGGCAGGGGTCTGAAGGCCACGAAGGAGTTCTGGGCTTCGGACGTCATCTTTGCTGAGCGGGCTTATTCTGCAGTGGTTTTCGACAGGTATGAAATGTGGGGACTTGCCTTCTTTTCTCCTGTTGGTTTGGCTAGTGCCAAACTCTAAAATACTTTGCTCTCAAAATCATCAGGAAAGAGATATAAAACCCATGGGATCATTTGGAACCAAATGGCGTTTCTGCCAGCTGTTTGCTGACATAACTTTTTCTGCAAAGACTCATTGCCAATGTGATTTGCTCTGGTCCCTCGGAGGGTTGTAAAAGTGAGCAAGGGCTTTGGGGCACTTTCCTACAACGCCAGTGAACTGGGCTGAGTGGGTGTGCTGGTGTGGTGAGGGTGGAGGGAAAGGAGGGAAGAGCGGGTGTAGTGTTGTGGAAAACACTTTCTTACAGGAGGCTCCTAATTGGGGAGACTTTAAAAAGGAATTGTAGGTACATAAGTAACACTGGAATGCATTTATCTTTGAAAAATTAGAATCTCACAAACAAAGCTGGAATCCCTTTTTACCTTTCCTACCTGGTAGGGGGTTGCAGGAGGCAGCTGATGGATATTTCTCTCTCATCGATGTTTCTAACTCTCTATCCCTCTCCCTTCCTCTCTGTGAAAAATCAATAAAATATTTAAAAAAAGGAATTGTAGATACATAAGTAAACTGGAATGCATTTATCTTTGAAAAATTAGAATCTCACAAACAAAGCTGGAATCCCTTTTTACCTTTCCCACCCCTAATCCCAGTCCCCTCTATCTTTCCCCAGAGATAATCCCTGTAATGGTTTTAATGTGTTTCCTTCTAGAATGTTCTTGTATTATAACATACATATATCTGCACTTATCAAAATGTACAGCTGTAGTTTGTCTATTTTTTTTTTTACAGAAATGGTATCATTCTTCAGATGTCATTCTAGAACTTACTCTTTTTCACTAAACATGTTTTTGATACTTATTCTCATGGGAACTATAAGTCTATAGATACGTCTTTTAAATCCACAAAGATCTACATCTTTTACCCACATGTAGATATCTCCATGTTGACCCATATGCTATCTGGATTAACTGCTGTAAATATTCCACCCTGTAAACATGTGAAACTTTATTTATCCATTCCCCCATTGAAAGACATTTGTGGTTTCCAATTTTCCATAAAAATGAACATTTCTGAGATTAAAACCCTTGGCTATGTTCACTTGTACATGTGCGATGACTCTCCAGGATATATGGCCAGAGGAGGGATTGTGAGCCCTCAGGTGTGCTGTTATCAGTTTTAACAGGCTCTGTAAAGTGGCTCTGTTAGATTTACATTCCCATTTCCCCACACCCTGTTCACACTTGACCACACACTTTTAAGAGTCTCATCCCCTATTGACAACTATCGGGGCAACACCTCATACTTTTAAAGTTATACTAAATCTTTATTTTAGCTCTGGCTGGTGTAGCTCAGTTGATTGGGCTTCGGCCTGTACACCCAAAGGTTGCTGGTTTGATTCCTTGTCAGGGCACTTGCCTGAGTTGTGGGCTTGATCCTCAGTAGGGGGCGTGCAGGAGGCTGCTGATTGATGTTTCACGCTCACATCGATGTTTCTTTCTCTTTCTCCCTCTCCCTTTCTCTCTTTGTAAAAATATTTTTTACATATTTATTTAAAAACAAAAAACAGAAAAACAAAAAACCCACTTACACATTGATTAAACATGACAAACTTCTCTGAACCCAAAGTTGGGGTGACCTGCCTGCCTTTTATGTGGCCTGAGGCAGGATGGCCTCTGATAATCTAGGCTTTGGGGTTGGCTCACTGGACTGATCATCCTGAGAATGGACATTGCTTTTTAGACATAATTTGATTACATTTGATTCTGGAGAAATTCTTTCTTTCTGCCTACCGAGACTTTCAGGGACAAGGCAGTGAACATATGGGGCATATGGCTGACCACCATTTGAAGAATATAAGGGGGCTTAGGTGACAGTAAAGCTCTTCAGAGGGAGCTTGCCCTACTGCATTAATTTGTGTGTGTGTGTGTGTGTGTGTGTGTGTTGGGGATGGAGGTGAGTACAGTGAAGGAGTCAGTTGTATTCAGAATTAGATATAAAAATCTAGAAACACAAAAATTCTGAACAATGATGTTGATGCTGTCATTTTGCCTTCTTTAGCACACCTTCACTGGTGCCTCCAATTCCCCAAAGGAAATATAGACAAACAGTTTCCCTTTCATGAATGTTTGGATTTGAATGAGTTTTCCTTCTTGTATAAAAGTAAAACTTAGGCCCAGCTGGCATGACTGAGTTGAGCATCGACCTATGAACCAGGAAGTCATGGTTCAATTCCTGGTCAAGGGCACATGCCCGGGTTGCTGGCTCGATCCCCAGTGTGGGGCATGCAAGAGGCAGCCGATCATTCTCTCTCATCATTGATGTTTCTATCTCTCCCTCTCTAAAGTAAATAAAAATATATTTTAAAAAATATATCTTTCACATTCTTAACCTTGTTGTTTATTTCCTTCCAGCTTGTTTTATTTATTTTAAAAATTGATTTTTAGAGAGAGTGAAAGGGAGAGGGAGAGAGAGAGACAGAAACATTGATGACCGGCTGCCTCCTGTATGTCCTCTACTGGGGATTGAGCCCGCAACCCAGGCATGTGACCTGACCGGAATCAAACGGGCAACCTCCTGGAGCATGGGACGATGCTCAACCAACTGAGCTACACCTGCTGGGCTTCTTCCAGCTTGTTTAAAAAGAGAGGCATCTGTTTTTACTACTCAGCTGGAATCTTATTTTACAAAATATTATGTTTCTTTATTCACTCAATAATTTAATTATCTTCTGTATCACTAGACACTCTTCACAAGCATAGTATTTAATGGCTGGATGCTATCCTTCTCTTTTTTTATGACTGGACAATTAGGCTGTTTACATGTTTTTGTTACTATAAATAACTAATCACTCATTTGAAGTAATAACTACAAAACCAACCTTAGTGGACATCACAGATAAACTGCTACATAAAATATTATTATTCAATAGTAATAAAAATTAGGATGATTGTGGTAAATAATCTTTAAAATAATTTTTTTTAAATCTAAAAGAGATACTTTTGGAAGGTGATTTGCCCAAATTTATCAGTGCAAAGGTGAGGGTAGACTCTTTCTTTGGGTATACCTGAGCCAGCCTGGAGAGGTGCCAAAGGGTAACTGTGTACATGCGGTCCTCCCTCTCTGTGAGACTTTGCTACTGTAGATGAGAAACCTGACTGAGGAGGTAGGACTGAGTCACCCACAAAAGTCATTCTATAAAAGAGGCCGGCTCGAATCCAGGTGTTAACCTAAAAATAAAAGGCCAAAAGTGAGAGGCAACCTGCATCTATTTGAGATTAAAAAAAAAAAAGAAAAGAAAAAAGAATAGCTATTCAGGACACACTGGTTCAGGCAGAAACCCAAATAGTGTTCTGATCAGGAGACAAAAGCAATGGGCATGGATGGGAAATGGAAGGGGAACAATTACACTAATGGAAGGAAGGCATTTCTATTGGTGTAGATAAGCTAACATAGTGACACTAATTCTAAAGAATGTTTGTAATTTTCAGTCTGATAGTCATAATATCTGCTTTCTTGTTATCTCTGCAAACTTTTCTTTGGGATCTAATGTTGCTATAGGCCCAATGCGAAGGCTATTTTGCCCTCTTTCAAAAGTTTTTTTAAAAAACAATTTCTTTAAAAAAAATATTTTCATTGATTTCAGAGAGGAAGGGAGAAGGAGAGAGAGATAGAAACATCAATGATGAGAGAAGATCATTGATCGGCTGCCTCCTGCACACCCGCTACTGGGGGTCGAGCCTGCAATCTGGGCATGTGCCCTGACCAGAAATGGAATTGTGACCTCCTGGTTCATAGGTTGACACCAAACTACTGAACCACACTGGCCGGGGGGCCCATTTTGATACATTACACATGTTATTGCAAGCCAGGATTATTTAATTCATTTTATGTCAAATGGAATGAGAAGATAATCAGTTTTTTTATTAAGAATGCAGGGAGTTCAGCAAGATTAGATCCTTATCTTTCCTCTGCTTGGTCTTGGAAGGACTCTTCTAGCCTTCGGAAGTAGAACCTCCATCTTTTCCAAACTGTAAAATCAATTAGTTGGTTAGCCCAGTTGACCAACAGACTAAGATTGGGCACTTTTCACAATATTAATAAAATTGAATCATCACTGTCACCATAGTTGTCATTATCTTCAAACAATACCCACAACCAATAGATACATGGCCAAACTGGAATAGGTTCAGAATTGAGCAGGTGAAGGAATTTGAAGCATGTTTTAAAGTAACCTCAGAGAACTACCCCTAATAGCTATCTACAAATAACAACTGTCACTTGGAAGAAAAAGGGTTCTGAATTTTCTTTTAATTGATGGAAGGGTGCGAACCAGGCATCTTAAGCAGAAGTTAGAGTCATATTTTAGGTGAAAATGGGGTGGGGAGATAGGGTGATTGGAAAGCTAGTCAGACCTCAAGCCATTTACTAGTAAGAATTAAATAGACTCTGGACACCCTTACTTTTAGACACAGCACCTCACAATATGTCAAAATGTAGTTTTTGCTTATAACTTCTGAATGGGTTTTTATAACTTTGCTTTTAAAATTCTTATTAATTTCCATTTTGTATTTTTTGTTTTTGCCTTACCTTTTTTTTGGAACCATTAAAAAGTATCAGTCCTAAACTTTTCCTGAACTACCTACAAGCTTTTAGCCCCTTAACATTGAGCCTCTATTTGCCTAATGAGTAGAATGAGCACGTTAGTGCTGTCTGGAGATGGAAAGGGCTATTTACAAGGTTGTGCATTTTCTCATGACAACTGGCAGAGATGATGTATGCACAGACTCGGACAATAGACTTGGTCATGTGACTCTTAAGATCTCTTCCAGCCTGGGATTCTATAGGTTGCATATCTTCTATGTGCAAAGAATTCCAGTGCAGCAGGAGAGGAGTGCTAGGCTAAAATAGGAATGGAACTTGTTCTGATTATTATTTTATTTTAGCATCAAATACAAGAGAT